ATATAAGTCTTAGTAACAGTTACTAACCAGGGCGGTCATCCAAGTAGGAAACAGCTTCCCAGAGCAGCCTCGGACAGCCCAGCACAGACCTGACGGAGGCGGTGTCGCCAGAACTCGGATATACCTTCTCTGACGCGCTCCCCCTGCTGTCTCAGCGGATCTCAGCAGGGTCGGCGGATAATTGCAATGTTTCTGGTAGGTTGTGCTCCGGAAGGAGGCAATCAGATCAACAAAAGTTTCCGCATTAGAGCAGCTTCACATGATTCTTTAATGTGAACCGCTGAGGCTCGATGTCCAAATGGTATCAGAGAAGCTGACAAAGAGGGGGCCCTTCCATTGCATTGGGCGTTGACCTGAGTGGTCTTCACAGCAGAGTCTATGAACAGCCTTGATGTGTTGATACATGCTGAAGGATGTCAAGTGAGGCTGCGGAGCACAATGCACCCAAAGAGGTCGTGGAGCTGCTGTTGAAGGTGAAGAGCGGATTGCGACAGTCACTACTGTATGCTTTTGGCCGACTCAAAGAGCCCATCAAGTGCACGGTCAGAGCAATTGGAATCACGTGCTCAAGTTGGCGAATGTCAGGGACATCTCTGGGACATCTCTCAGGTCCCAGTGACTTCACAGTTTCCCCAACTAACATTCAGCTCTGGTTGTTCCGCTTTGTGAAGCTGCAATGATTGTACCGTTCTGTGTTTGTTCGTTGCGAGGCTTACCCCGAAGCCGTGGTGAAGCGCGACGCCCGCGGCTCGGTGGCCGCGCAGCTAGCGCGGAATGCCTCGGAGGCGGAAGCACAGCCGCGCAGCGTTGCGGAGCGTCGCGCAGCAACAAGGGGCATCGCTACTAGTAGCTCCTGGCCTTACTACTAGGAACAAGAAGCTACTAGTAACAAAGGGCATCGCTACTAGGAACAAGAAACTACTATATAGTAGCTCATCATTCGTGTGAGCGCTTCTGCAAGGAAGGGGGCGAGCTTCCTTGAAGCGTTAGCTATCCTGCGTCCATATGTAGTAGCGTCCAAGTAGCTTAGTAGCTACTGGTAGGAACTTTTCCCTTACTTAATTAAGTATAGGAGAAGGGCGTGGTTCCTGTCAATGCCCGGTCATTTGATATTTGATGCCTTTGTCATGCTGTTCTATGCTGTTCTGATGAAAGAGAAACCATTATTGAGTTGCTTTAACATCTTGCTTCCGCCTTCTGATGGCTTTGAGGCTGCGTGTGACACTGAGAATCCCATGAGCATACGCACTTGTTCTACTGGACCACCGAACCAAACATACAAAACCACTTGCTCACGTTGTACTTATATACTCATACAATACCACAATGGTTATATAGTGTCTCAAGTTCCGTTCCATGCTAGAAATGCGCACTTTCGACGCCTTGCCATGGATTGACTTTGATGTGAGTCGTGCCGGAAGATGTCAGAGGATCTTGTCTCTTCTTTGCGGGATGCATGCCTCGGACCCTTCGACTTTGCATGGCTGTTGGCCGCTTGGAAGTAAAACACGGGAGCTTTTCGCACGGCGAGACTTTGTGAAGATATGTCAGAGAGAGAGGCTTTTGTGAAGATGAATGAACATGCCTTTTGGTGCAGGAGCGGGTGGCAGATTTCGGACAAGAGCATCCAACATGGCACGGTTCAGAGCACAAAATCGACTGGAAGCAAGGCAGTCCACCTGCACCCATACAGCTGCTGGTGCCAGCCGCTTGACATGTATGTTGACTTATGTTCGCTTATGTTGATATGTTTTTTTCCGTTTGATCAGGCACCTTGAGTTTTGGTGAAAGAAGTGTTGGGACCTCCAGCCCCCAGAGCTTTTTTTGCCTCAAATCATATAGTTTAATTCTTGGCTGCTATGGTTCGCGTATGTTTGCGCCTGTGTTGGCTGGCTGAATTACGGATCCATTCAACCTTTGGTCAAGGAGATGATTCTGTTCCATGCAGACAAACCTCACTGCTTGTTCTTCACCGACTGCGCTGGCTTTTTGCGAGCCTCCGTCCGTGCTTTGAAGCAGCCGCACGTGGTTTACCACTGTATTTCAGCTGCACGTCATCTCATGAGAAATTTAAGTTTGGCCGAACGGCATGCGCTTAAATAGACACGTACGGCAGTGTGCAGCAGTTCGACCGCATTGCAAACAGGGATAATGGGAAGGCCTTCTGTGTGGGTCTTTCAACAGCCTCCAGGCATGGAACAGATCCTGAAGCAACGCAAGGACCTGAATTCATCGGTCTGAGTGCGAGTAATTCATAATGAAGCAAGTTTGAATGAGTAGCATGCTTGCTTGAACTAGCGCTATTCAGGCAAATTCTGACTTGACAAAGGGGACATTTTCTTACATGATCTTACATGCTCGCAACCAACTCCGCAGGAATCGGATATTGCTTGGCAGGCAGGGTATGATCAGAAGCCGTGTCCGTTTTATTGAGCAGTACTGCGTTGACTCATATTGATTGCTTCTAGGTTGGAGGCCATCGCATTGTATCTCCTTCCCTATGAATTACAGTTACAGTGGAGCATGATAGCGGAGTGGAGAGCGTGCAACCTCACCACCAAAGCTGCATCAGAACTCCAATACTAGGTAAGTGTAACTGTGTTAAGTCGCACCAGCTTGAGTACAGTTGTCTTGAAATGGTGCGCATCCAGCACCATGGATCCAACAATTCCCCGTAAAGCCATGGGGTTGTAGGATTTTTTTGGTGATGTCTAGCAAATGTGATGACTTTACTGACGGGCTGTGCCGATTCCCATTGATTGATGACTTCACCCGGACATGTTTGACTTAATACTCCGACTTATTGGCTACTGGTGTAGTTATTGTAGTTTACAGGAGGCTTCTGCATGTGGGCATTATATCCTGTAAGCGAAAGCAGGTGAACTAACAAGGACAATAAAACTGGGAATGGGTGTGCCCATGGTGGTTCCTTCCACATCAACACATGCATTCAACGTTGGCAAAGCATGTTGTGCACCTATGTTCATGTGGGCGTGCTCAGCAAAAATAGTTGTTGTTGTTTTTTAACAAAATAGTTTTATATCATCTCTGTGAGAAGACTGATGCTTAAACAGTGTGCCCATGGTGCTTCGAGATTTTGAGGTTACTTTTTCCAATGCCTAGTAGTAAGTCACAACAGTGCAGGTGTCTATTTATGATCAATTGCTGCACATGACGACGTACAGCCGAGTGCCTGGGTATACAGGTGCCCAAATGGACCAGTCACGGCCTTCATCACCTTCCCTGAGGTCCGTAGGGAACACTTTCCAGATATCAAGCCGTTCCATCAAATCTGCGCAGGCCGAGATGGAGCAAAGTTACTCCCGGCGTTGCTCACGCAGCAGCGAAGTAAGTGAGATGCACAAAACACCATCACTTCGGATGCTGGGATCATGTCAAGGGCCAGGTTGAGCTGCCTTGCAAGGGAGACTAGAAGCGGTTGAATACAGAATTGTCAGAAGGTTCATTTAGGTGAGAAGGCACTGCAAGCTATGGTGTCATTCAAGTGAGACACACTTCTTACTTACGTTTGAAGCAACATATGTACATTGACATATATGTATAAGGTATATTAATATATATATAATATATATATACAAGTATGTATCCAACTATATATTCGCATAATTATTATGCAACCGCCTTTCTCATGGTTGTGCAAGGAAGTGCGAAGAGAGAGGTACTCCTCTCGCCTGGTGTAGCAACATACAGCAATACAGTAATTGGACGGCAACATGTGAGAGTCTCATCACTTGGAGATGTTCTGATGGAATCGAACACAGAAGCAAGTCTAGGAGCCGATCCCTGTGCAGATGTCCAACTTCAGATAGACTTGTATCTAGACTCAGCCAACACAACTGTTGTGGTGAAGCAGACAAGCAGGCCCACTGTATACCTGGAAGTATGTCCAGCCAATCAAAGCTAGCGACAATCGACTGAGGAAGCCACGGGCTACCGTGGTCATGAAGAGTCCCCTGACATTGCGCAAGAATTTCTGGAGGTTATGGGTGGAAGAACAGCATCAGCAGCTGCCAGAAGGTGATGTCGCAGAACGCCTTGCAGGAGAGGGTTTCTTGATTGTTTTGCTTCAGAGTACAACATTTTTATAGTGAGAAGAAGGCCTCAGGCTGGCCCAAGTATTGTTTGACAGACGTTTGAGGGAAGTACTTCGGGATATGCGCGGTTATTGCTCCGAAAAGGTCAGGTCAAGCAAGGTCTAAGACTAGGTCCTTGAAAAAGGGCTAATCGTCGACACCCTTTCGGATCGAACTTTGAACCAACCTGTGTGACGGTTGTTTGCTTCAGTTCGCTAAGAGAAGCATCTTGGCCCAGAAAGATGTGCGATTGTTCAAGTCTTAAGGCTGTGGCAAGCACAATGATCTTAATAGTAGGTCTTTTGAGCACATTGAAGGGAAGCCCATTATGTTTTGCAAGTGCCAAGTCCTTTCAAAGCACGCTGGTGCAAGGTTCGCTTAGCTAGAAAACCGCAAGAACTCTCTTCTGCAACATGACCTTGTGCGGCAGGGTTCGCGCATATCCTAAGTTCTACTATGGCATGGCCTGGTTGATATACGCGATCGCAGGCAACAACAAGTAGCCTTTCAAGATCCCTGCATTTGCGCAACTTCTACATGGGGTTGCAACAGTTTTGCGAAGGTGATGTTCTGCGTGCATTTTCTGCGCCTGACGAATTCTCACGCAACAGCTTGATTTTGCCAAGTTGAGTGGCAGAATGAATTGACTGCATAATTCATGGGCAAGACAGAGTTGAACAAGAACCGTGCGAATGACAGGTCTGTCAGAGAAAGGAAGGCAAGGGCTCCTTTAAGAAGATCAGTGGGCATCAGGGGCCGATGGGGGCCCCTTAAACCGTTTACCTTTGTTTGGACTCTTCTTTGAGAGTCCGAAAAAAACTCCACGCTTTTGACAGGAACCCGAGGGCTTGGATGGCCTGAAGGCACCAGGCTCCTGCAGGCGAGCTTTTGGAACTCTGAGACGCTTAGCATGCTTAGCCTGGAGCGTCGTGGTGCTTAGCATGACCCATGGTGTTGAAGTCAAAATTTAGTGTTTCTTTCCTATTCCAAGTCGGTTGCTTGCGGATGAAGACTCTCCTTGAACTTATAATATATATATATATTACTTGAACTTATAATATATATATACACTGGTTTGTACAGTGGTACATCAAGGCGAGTGGTCCAGGGGTTAGTTGCAGTTTGGGACCTGAACAGGTTAAACTGCTGTGCACAAGGGGGAAACAAACACCAGTGTATTGTGCAACAAGGAGCCTTACCATGTCATCGTTGTCCCAAGGAAGTTTATAACGTACGACTATGATGCCATCCATTCTGACGTCAAAGGAGCCGTGCCTAGTCTTGAACATTCTTGAACCATAAGTCCTTTCTATTTTCGTTTTATGCTGGGGCTGCAGGGACATATTAAGAGTGTTGACCCATTCAGAGAAGCTATAGATTTTGTGGTACCAAAAGTCGCCGGTCGCCCGGTGTCGATGAAACTTGGTGAGCAATTCGATTCCTGGTCCAGTCTACTCGCGGTTCCTATCAACTAATGCCGAGATATGCAAATGTTTGTCAAGATATCACTGAAACGTATATCAAGACTTGCGATTGATAACGGGTGTCATAAGTTGGATGTGAATTTGACATGACCGTTATCACCCCTAGGCTGGTAAAAATGCGAGGCCTATCCGTTAGTAGGTAGTTGCAAGTCTGAAATAGGAAACTTCACTGGATGTTGTTTCATTATGTTCTTCGATTTGTTTTACAACAACTTGCCCACCCTGCCTTTGCATCTGAAGCTTTGCCTCGCAACCCGCAACCAGGTACATACACGCTTGGAGGACATCATCAACAACCACTTCGAGCGCTACACATTTCTGGACTCGGTTCGTGATCGGAACAAGATCTCTGCTGTGCCCAACTTGTTGGCCCAGCCTCCTGCTGTGGATTTGTAGCAGAAACTGTTTTGCTTATTTCCTAGGGCTTTGGTGAGGGGTCCTCATGGCATGCAGCGGAGCATTTTCACCAATTCACCTTTCAATCCAGGCGCTTGGCATACTATTGCAACCTGGAGTTGGTGTCTGGCAAATTCACCTTCTACAAAGACAAAAGGAGCCAATTGTGGCTGGTCGACGCGACCGCCACTTGTGACTGCACTAGTTACTAGTTTTGATGGATTGTTTGTCATTTATGCTGCGCTGCATCGAAGTTGGAAGCACGAAGGCTTCACTGCAATGCTATTCTTGCATGTCATGTTTCTGGTTTCTTGCAACCAACATGAGCTACACGGGCAGCGCATACTCAAAATAACGAAGGAGTGTGCCAATGTGTGCCACAGATATTTTGGGGTTGTCCAAAACTGAAATGTGTTTGCTTGCAGTAATAGGCAATTAATCAAGGCCTGAACCACTAAGCATTCTTGTAAGCAGTGAGGCTATCATAGGCATTCCAGACCGTTTTAATGTATTCTTCTTTCAGAGAAACAACGAACATATCAAGAATAACAAAAAAGATGCCTAAACTCTAAATGTCTAAAGACAGAAAGAAGGAACATAAAGAATTACGCAAAAAACAAAATAAGTAAAGAAAAAGGTGTGTAGTATGTATATAGTATATATAGAGAGAGAATACTGGACTGAGCGAGGTATTCCAGACTCAAGGCTTTATGGGAACCCAAGGCCGGGTGGAGAATGTAAAAGCATCATCCGAATCATCAAACACTCGAGGACTTGCTGCTGGTGGCCACCGCGACTCGAACCTCGAAGGGCTCCGACGGGACCTCTTCAGCATCTGAAGCTTTGCCACAGAAGCTCTTCCGCTTCTTAGACAGAGATTAAGCTAAAGCTTTTATACAATTTTCAAGCATGCTATTAATACTTGGCCAGACCTGAAAGCATTTGGTGGTTCCTGGTTTGTGGTTTCCGGAAGCGCCGGGTCTTTAGTCCTCGAAAAAGTAGAAATTACAACTTGACACGATCATACCTACAAGAGATTGCTCTTTGGCCAAGTCTCTCCAGTTGTGAGTTGGGAATTGTCATGACTTTGTTCATCGTGAATCAATAACGTAAAGAATGTCTCAGCATGTCTCAGCCATCCTCCCAGCCTGCGTCCGACCAATATCGGAACAACTATATGTTTGTCAATCAGATTCAGCAAGTTTGGCAATTCTGGCCAATCAAACGTTGAGGATACCTGTCAGAAGAAGCCTTGCAAAACCTGCCCGTCACGGAGCAGGACGGTCCGAAGCACCAACGGATGTTTGAGTCACTTGGACGATTTCATGGCGTCAGAACAGGTGCATCAGACCTTCATTTTTCATCAATCCTGAACATTGACTCTTCATCCAACTGGTTGTTGGGCTGGGCGTTCATCGACCTGACCTGGCGATATTTGATTCGATTCCTCCCATCTCTTTGCTTTTTGGGGTTTGAGGAATTTAGGAAGTCAGAGCCAGAGCTGCAGAGACAGACCTATGTTTGGAAGGTTGTTGCTAATGCAGTCGAAGTGTGCCAGGTTGATGATTTCCTACTACCAAAATATGAAGCAGCAATATCGCGTTGATCGCATGCTACAGAAAGTTCAGCAAGAACTGGACACCAACGTGCCGGTCTTTGAAGGTACGGATCTTGAGGCAGGGCGTTTCAACCAGCCACAGGAGTGTTTACCATGGTACTGATGATGACGTCAATGCATGGTTGCTCTTGCTGTCAAAACAGATTAGCAGAGTGTCGAGTTTCGACAAACGGTTCTATTTTTTTTATTTTTTTTTGTTGTTTTTGCTATGGGTTCTGAATGTCTCGCTCTGGAGTGATCGCCAAATTGTTTCATAAAGTCACTTCTTCCCAACATGGGCCAACTACCTTTGACAGCATGCTACTGAGACTACTGTTCATGTCATGGACATTCATAAAGCAATCGCTGTGCTTCAATGCAACATGATGCAACATGAGCCTCAAGCGACTCCCTTGACCGATTTGGCACTTGAGGCTCTCAGCAAGACCTTTGACCTCAAGGGCTCCAGGTCTAGCAACTCGTCCAGCTCTCCACGCCGGTTGCAGGTGCCTCAGAAGCGCCAGGGCCACCCCCACCGCTGCCGTTGGTACAGCGCGGCAGCCGTGCAGGAGGTGCCCAAGAGGCGGTCGCGGCATGGCAAGCACATGGCAGCGATCATCGCTCGACAACGGGAACGTCAGGAGGAGACCCTTTGGAGTTTCGGCGATGTGCGAGTGTGTTTGTGTTTCTTATTTTGGGTGTGTGTGTCACTCCAAGGGTTACTTCCTACCAATTGTACTACCAAGCAGGGGCACTGAGCACTCCTTGGCAAACTCAGTGCAACGAAGCTATGCCTTGGAGTGGGAAGCACGGATTGATCACCCGTGTGTACCTGCGAGATTTTTTTCTACAAGCTGTGACTCCACTTTTTTTTGTTTGCTTCCATGGTGGTTCCACGATACTTTCCCCCAAACCTTTTCCCACGCCGCTGACCTGCAGCCGCTTTGCCGCTGTGCGCTTTCCGCAGTCAAGTGCGACAACAATTTTGTTAAAACACCTACACTTTCCTGGACCTTTCGCCATGCAGTTCTCTCACCTTTTTTTCACCTGGGAATTGAGTTAACAGCAAACCAATGTCAGAGTGTGAACCGCCCACTTGGGTGCTGGATGTGATCCTCCGCAAGGAGGCGCCGTTCTCATGCCGGAAATCGTGTTACAGATTCATCGTCTTTTCATCGTGAATTCTCTTAACAGCCTTAGTCTCACCACGGAATTGTCAGAATCTGGAGCCGCCGGGCTTTCACGGACAACACAGCCGCCGGGCTAAAAAATGGAATTCAACGCAGGTTTCCCAACCCCCCCCCCCACCGAGTTCTACTCCCTACCTAATTAGGGTAACACAGGGAAATGGTACTCGACACACTTGTGTGTCGGTGCCTTTCCCTTTGTTGTCCTTGTTCTAGTCTTCTCTACCCGGGCGGTCTAAGACTAAAGTCCCGCTCCCTAACTATTGCATTTACGTCACTTCCGCTAAGTAATCAGTAATTTTAGAGTGCTAAGTATTCATACACACACACGGACACACACATGTACATACACCTCCCTGCCCCCCGTCGCTTTCTTTCTTGCGCTTTTGGTCGTTTCTTAGGGCTTTCTCTCAGGCTTTTTAGGTTGCTCTTGAGGCTCGTTTCCCTACCCCAGTCAAGGGCTAAGTATTCACTTTTTCTACTCCTACCTTTCTCTTTTGCCCTCTTAGCGCTGCTCTTTCTGTGTTTCTTTCTTTTGTTTCTAAGGCTTTTTAGGTAACTATTCAGGCTCTTCGCACCAGCGCCGCAAAGCGGCACCGTGTGTGTGTCACCCCTTGTCTCCAAGGGTTACTTCCTACCAATTGTACTACCAAGCAGGGGCACTGAGCACTCCTTGGCAAACTCAGTGCAACGAAGCTATGCCTTGGAGTGGGAAGCACGGATTGATCACCCGTGTGTACCTGCGAGAAACTTTTCTACAAGCTGTGACTCCACTTTTCTTTGTTTGCTTCCATGGTGGTTCCACGATACTTTCCCCCAAACCTTTTCCCACGCCGCTGACCTGCAGCCGCTTTGCCGCTGTGCGCTTTCCGCAGTCAAGTGCGACAACAATTTTGTTAAAACACCTACACTTTCCTGGACCTTTCGCCAAGGAATTGTTCATCATGTACAGAGCAGGGGGTTCCCCCCTCACCAGTCACCGAAGAGGCCATGGGTGAGGGCTGAAAACGTACCTGCATTCGCATGTTGATGATTGGAATCATACTATTTGTGACCCAGCCACCTTTCCGTTGTGCACATGGCTGTTGACAAGTTTCAGGCTCCAGCGCTTTATAATCCGGTATTGTAATCACTAGAGGGGATTGCCACAACTGATAGTGCTTTTGCGAGCCCTTATCCAAGTGTGTTTCGCCACAGAGTCCCACTGACGGCTGTGGTGTGATTCCCAGCGAGGAGCGTGTCTTGCACATGCCCTTAAGGGTGAACCTTCACGGATCAATCAGCTTGCTCGTGAACTTCGTGGGCTTCGCGCTTTTTCTTGAAAGTGCTGATCCCATGCCGCAGGGCCTCCTGAGATCCTTTCAGAGAATGACATGACATGCTGCTAAGATCTGCTAAGTATTCATAGGCCGGCTTTAGGAGCTGCCGCTAAGTAATCTTTTTTCGGCTCTTTCTTTCCTGCTGCTGCCCTTTTTAGGTGTAACTGAAGCCTTTTAGTCGAGTGTGCGCCGGTTACGGCTTCTCGTCAAAGGCCTTCGGGCCTGCGACCCCCTTCCCCCCCACCCCACACCCCTCGCACCCTTTCGTTCCTTGCCTTTTTCGTTTGCGTGGGCTTTCCTTCAGGCTTGTTTAGTAAGTGCACGCCCTGCCCACACCCCCCTGCACCCTTTCCTTTCTTTTCTTTGTTCTTTTTCGTTTGTTTGTTTCTTTCCTTCAGGCTTGTTAGGTTAACTTTCAGGCTCATTTAGTCAACGCACTTCTTCCCCGCCGCACCCCGCAGAACAAAAAAGAGCGTGCGCCGAATGACGGCTTACTGTGTGTGTCAACTCCTGTTTCCAAGGAGCTTTTAGTCATGTGCAGAGCAGGGGGGCCATCCCCCTCACCAGTGGTGGATGGCCACCGAAGAGGCCACTGGTGAGGGCTGAAAACGTACCTGCGTGCGCATGTTGATGATTTAAATCATATGACCCAGCCCCCTTTCCGTTGTGCACATGGCCGTTGACAGGTTTCAGGCTCCAGCGCTCTAATCGGGTGTTGAATTAGTAGAGGGGATTGCCACAACTGACACTGCTCTAAGGGAACCACACACTTTTACCACTAATTTCTTGAAATGTCAATTCATCTCATTGTACAGCTTCAGCAGGGGGCACAGGAGGCCCATGGAGCTGTGCCCAACGAAGCTCTCCACGGCGACCTCAGGATATGCGGCCTGATCAGCTGCACGTACCTGCTTTTTGTGGCGTTGTCAGGCTGTGACTAATCTTCGGTAACGTAAAGGGCTAGCCTCATTTAGTTCTTGTCCGAAACCAGGTTAACACCAGATTTCATGGGTTTGTGAAGTGTATTTTTTCGGTTCTTGTCCTGCCCAAGTCGCTTTGCAGCCAACCACAACAAACAATGAAGCGCAGCGATCGCATGTAGCTAGCACTGCTCACCTGCAGACAAAAGCGAATCGACAGACATCAGCGAACGCAGCTTTCCGACGCACGGCGCTTCTCTACTTCTCAACGAGGAGGAAAGCTCACTTGGAGAACAATCCGCAGCGCCCATCGAAGAGATGAGGAGCCCCAAGAGTTCGGGTTTCTTCACTGATGGGCGTCGAGGTAGCAAAACCAGGCCCATGGGCGGGACTGCTACATTTCAAAAAACAGTATCGGCATAACATTTGTACACCATATATATACTGTATATTTATATGAACACATCTCGGGTCTCCAGCCGTTGAAGGCATATGTGCAATTGAACAATGGGATCTTCCAGATGCAATGTAAAGATTGCCATTCCACATGTTTGCTCTATGTTTCAAAAAAAATTAACATTGAACCGATTGAAACTGAACCGCTTGGGAGAGCCAAGGATCATCCTCAAAAGACCCATTGGTCCCAGCCCTAAATAGAAGACAGCTGAGAACCTCCAGAGTTTCAGGCCATGTCCTCAATTGGATCGCAAAGCCGTGAAGATTGAGATTGTGTCTACGGCAATAGCCATGGACTTGCTGGAAGGTGCAGGCACTGGTGCATGTCCGGAAGGCTCCACTACGATGGATCTTCTGAGGCGAATCACGATTACAGACCAACGGTGATGTCAAGATGTTGGTTTGAAGTATCTTGCTCCGCCTTGAACCTTTTCCAAGAGATGCTGATGTTTCAAGACTTTAGGGTGTTTGTTAAGGCCACAGATCTGTCCACCGGGACAAGGCCTTCAAATGACCCGAAAAAAATGCCGTGCCCTGCGCACGAGTCGTTGCTTGGCTGTCTTGGCAGGCTTTGGCCACACTGATTGACCAGCTTTGTCGGGTAAGGGTGGAAACTGCGGGCTGAACCATGTGGGAAACCACGGTTTTGACTGGGCAACCACCGCAGTAAGCAGGTAACCCGGTTGGATTGGATCACTCAGCAAACGGTTGAGAAGAGGACACTATGGCTGGGTCTTACAGTACTACAAAACTGGGTGGACGTTTGAGGGATTTTTTATTTTTTTGGTATTTCTGCAATCTTTTTACCTATCAACAGCTCGCCCTTTACTGTAGAATTTCGGCTCAAATTAAAATCACGTGATAGGTGGAACCTGACAGACAAACTCCTGAAATCAGGAGTTTGTCTGTCAGGATTTGGTGCGGTCCACAGTGAGAGGGGGGGTAGGACATAATTTTTAATCAGAATTAGAGTCATTCATTTGCCATTGCATGAATTGTCAGTGTCATGTGTCATGTGAAGTCATGTTTCCTGTTGAAATCGTGGGCTCCGTTTGACTTGAGGCTGTCTTCATGTCTTGGTCAGCTGCCCAGGATCACATGCCATGTGCCATATGCCTCAGTTTCATGCATTCTGATTCGAGTCTAGAGCCACTTGTCACTTGACAATGAAAGAGTCAGTCAGAAGATTGCATTAGTGGTAGATTCGGGAGTGTTTCATTCAATTGACATTGTCACATGCCACATGTCACACTGTTGAGGTCCGACCGGGTGCTTTCTTCAAGGACTATGTCAGAGAAGGCGAGATTGAGATCGAGTCATTTTGTGCAATCACTTGTCAAGCATTTTAAACTTGCAAACATGTGACAAGTGAGAAACATGTGTCATGGTGACAGTTGACAGTTGAGCTGCCTTTCAATGATATTCTTGGATCAAGTTGACACATGAGGCGTCACAGTCACATGTCACATGATTCCAACACATGACACATGCCATGTCACATGCCGAGTCACATGTCACATATCATACAATTGCCATCGTGAATGGACGAGTACGATCAGCCATCGCGTGCTGAAGAGATCCTGGAGGACGAGGGGATTGACACCTCCGTGTGCACGGAGAAGATGCTCGATTGCACTGGGTGCTTTTGTGACTGTGTTCGGGTTGTGTTTGCGAGCATGAACTTGATTGAACTCAGGAAGTGCGTGTGGGTGCCTTTGCCGAAGTTTAACCCCCTTGATCATTTGTCATGTGTCATGTGTCATGTTTGAATCATGTGTCATGTGTCACTTGCTCAACCCTCTTGATCTCAGGCACTTTATTTGCTTCATTTGGCAGATAAAAAGGCTGCTGTGAATTTGGTGTGTCTTGGCAGCGCTGTGGACATCTGAACCGGCTCATGCTCACAACTCATTGAATGTTTTTGAATTTTCGCCTTGCCAAGGGCTGCCTTCAAGAGAGCTGAGCCAACTGACAAGTCTGGCTACATGTTGAAGGGTGTTGAGAATGCACTCAGACAGACTCCTGGAATAAATCATGTGCTGTGTGTGTGTCGCTGTGTCAAACTACTTATTATTGTAAAATGACATGTGGCTCCTTGCTTGTCGTGTCTTTTTAGCAGCTGAGGTGTGACACCGTCGCAGCCTCCCTCCGACAAGCCGGCCCATCCAAGTAGCATATGGGATGAGGACTATTGGAATGATGTACCACCTCAGGTTGACGATAGTCACATTCCTGCTGCATTTGCCAATCGCCATGTGCCAGTGCCAAACAGCCCATGGCAAGATCCCAGCACTGCGTCTCGACTGATGTTTCAAATTGGCTTGCGCGTCAACTGATTTGTCATGTGTCATTTGTCACACCATTGTCATACTTTGCTGCTGAGGTGGACTGGGGCAAGGCGTGGGAGACCAAGACCGTCGTCACGCCAAAAGGTACGTCAGTGGCCTGGTCCTCGCAACCCATCCTGGTTGTGGCATATGGCGCAAGTGACAAGTGCCTGAACCAGGCTCATGCTGGGGATGTTGCTAAGTCTGAGTGTTTCATCTTTGAGTCTTTGAATGTGCGTTTTCATATACAGAACTCTTAGCTCATTTTGCCATGTGCCAGATTGGCTGCACGATCAACTCTTGCCATATCCACACGGTGGCTGATCTGGATTTGGCCCTCGGCTTCAAGGAGTCCGAACGTTGGGAACACCGCCTTGCGCACTTGTTGCACACGTCCAAAATGCCACCCGCTTGCATTTGAGTTTGCGCACGTAAGATGTCACATATTTCAAATTTCAATGTTTTATGTCACATGATCATTTGCATTGACTGAGGTCACAGGAGTTTTGCTCACGTGAAAGCGGTGTCACCACTGCAACCATGAGGGAGGTGATGTCACATCCTGACTTCCTCAATGTCATCGAGGACATTTTGTGCTTCCCGACCCGGGTTGTGCGGAGTCTTGACTGCAGCGATTGACACGTGACAGGTGGCCAGGTGTTGCTAATCTGTGTTAAAATGTGCTGTCAAGAGACACGTGACAGGTGGCCAGGTGTTGCTAAACTGTGCTAACATGTGCTGTCAAGGTGCTGCTGTTCGTCTGGCTGGCATCGTGCTCCATGCACCGCCACTGTGGTATATGCCATTTTGAAAGTGCCTGGACTCTATTCGAGGGGTGAGGCATGATGACACATGATTGAGCCATCTGAGATTCAATATTAAAATTGTTTACAATGTGCTTCAACTAAGGCTTTTGGCTGCCATGTTCTCATTGGGTACCAGCAGTTGGTTTCCGAGCGTCAATTTTCACAGATGTGCGTTGGCATGCACGCTTTCTACAATGAACAGGAGACACTGAAGCATAGCTCAATTAAACTGATTCTGCTTTGGTCCTGTTGCGTGAGGATTCCTTGGGTAAATTGTGACTCGATTTCGATTTGTCATTCGGCTAAGGGAGAAGGCTCAGCTGTGGTGTTTGCCACCTGCCATGTGGGCCAATGCCGCTGGAAGTTTGGAGAATGTCAGCATCAAGGCGTTGGAGATCTTTGTAGACTCATGGAACCTGCACCGGTGCCTCGCCAGCTATGATGTGACGCATCGCACGCATTGCTGCCATTGTTGTTCATCGCTGTTGATGTCCCATCTTCCAAGGAAATATCAGCATGTGATTCCGCTGATCGAGATGCAGGATTCTGTGCCACCTGCGCAAATGGCATCTTGTCTCAACCGATTATACGGTTCGGTTGGTTCAATATTGTCACATGTCACATGTCACCATTGATGACTTAAATGCGTGCTGTGCAAGGCATCTGTTGCAACTCCGGCGCAGGCAGCTCCAGCACAGCCACCAGCACCGCCAGCTCCAGCACAGCCACCTCGTCCATCACAGGCAGCTCCAGCACGGGCAGCTCCCTCACAGGCAGCTCCAGCACAGCCACCTCCAGCACAGGCAGCTCCAGCGCAGGCATCGGCGCCATGCAGTGAGGTGACAGGTGGCCAACCCAGCCCAGTGGACCAGGCATCCAGCCAGCAGGCATCCAGTCACCAGGAATCCAGTTACGTGCCGGGTGACTACGTGCCAGGTGACCAGGCTGACATTCCCAACGCCCCTTGGAGGAAAAGGTTGAGGGTTCCAGGGCCACCACCAGGACCACCTCCTCCTGAGAACATGCCACATGCGTGGCCTTGGCGTGGTGATGATTGGTGGCACAGCTGGTCCGGCGGCTGGTGGTCTGGCGACTGGTCAAGTGGCTGGGAGTCACATGCGTCACATGCCAATTGGCATGATGACACACGGCAGGATGATGTCAATGTGGAGCAGCAGGACCAGAACCAGGACCAGGTGGCACCTGACAATCCTGCCGATGTGACACATGATGGTGACGAGCCAGATGCGCCAGAGTCGCCAGAGGAACCACGGCCACCTTCGCCACGTGGCCCGATGAACTGGCTCCAGGATGATGAGGTGTTGCATCTCGATGGCAAGTTAGATTATGTCAGTCAGTCATTTGTCATTTGTCATTTGTGATTTGTCAGTGGCATGCATTTTTAACTTAGGGAAGAGATCTACGCCTACTACAATGTGTCACCATCCGTCGCTTCCAACTTGACACCATTGCCATTTGTCACCAAGCTCAAAATATTGCTACTTGGCTCCACTAGTGACGCGAGACATTTGACAAGTGACGCGTGACATTTGACAAGTGACAAGTGACGCATTGCCTTTGCTGATCGGCAGGAGTCGGCTGCTGTACAAGATTCCCAAAGATGACACCGACTCATTTGACGCTTGGTTGATGAACGCTATCAGCAACTCGGCTATCAATGGGGCTGATGTTTTAAACAGACAGACAGACAGACAGACAATGAACCAAGTGACAGTCGAGAGACAGGTTTTCTTTGACGGAGGCAACGAGAAAGCATGGCTTTGGGACCAGGGCATACTGCGATGATAGCCAAAGTTGCAGCAGACGGAGCCAATTAGAGCTGTGGTGGCAGTGGCCATTTGCCACGTGTCAACTTGCCACGTGCCACCACCAGCAGCCGCACTTGAGTAGTGTCTAAAACTAATTTAATGTAAGATTGTCTTTTTGGTACATGCGGCTGTGAAATCGAATCAGCGCACGTTTTGGCAAATGGGATTGCGAGGCATGCATTCACTTGAGATTCAAATTTCACATGTTCAACATGTTTCAGTGAAATTGTGTACAGTCA